GAGCTACGTGTGTACAGGCGCCATCGTGCGTTCTGTACATGTAGCAATAGCATATTACAAGCGGCGTGCCGTGCACATGTTACTATATACCAAGCGAGCTGTGGTTGTAATGTATCAAGCGAGGTGTGATGTGTAACATATACACAGCGAAGCTACGGTATCATGATAGTCATATAACAAGGGGGACGTGATTACATGTAGATACACAAGTCGAGCGGCTGCGGTACAGTACAGCTATGTACGTGCGTCGTGTTACATTCATCTACAAGCGAGGGGTCGGTGTACATGATACAGCGAGCGTTGCAGTGTGTACATGTCCCAGCGAGCGTGCCTGATGTCATGTAGATATACAAGCCGAGCGTGGCGGGTACATGCTACAACGAGTTGCGGCGTTGGTACAGATGTACAAATGCGAGCGTGCCATGATTACATTGTACCAGCGAGCGGCGTGTGTACATCTGTAAATATACAAGCAGCGTTGAGTGATGTAACATATACCAAGGCGAGCGTGACGTGTTCACAGTACAATGCGAGCGTGCGTGTTATATGTACAGCGAGCTGCGTTGTACGATTACAAGCGAGCGTTTGCGTTATACATGTACAAGCGAAGCGTGCGTTGTACATGTACAAGCGAACTACGTAGTGTACCATGTTACAATCGGCCGCTGCGTGCTGTACATAGATATTACAACGCGAGCGCGGTTGTACAATGTAAAAGCGAGCGTGAGTGTACATATACAAGCGAGCGTACGTGTGTACCAGGCGAGCGTGGTGTGATACATGTAGTAATACAACGGTCTCGGCTGTGCACATGTATATTATACAAAGCGAGAGTGCATTGTACATGTACAAGCGAGCTGCATAGACTGTGTACATACAAGCGAGCGTACGTGTTCTACATGTATAATTATACAAGCGATGTCTGCGTTTACACTGTAATATACAAGCGGTAACAAGGGAGGATAAACATCCAGTTGCCTATACATGCCCAGTACCGGCCAACCGCTAATAAACCTGTAACGTCTTCTTCAACGCAACGACTACCGTGTCGTTTTTGATCCGCGTCTCGGGATCGTTTTCGACCGACGACGTATAATGGCTGTGACGTGCCGTGCAGTGCATTAGATCGTGCGTGCTGCGTGGGCGTTGCCGTGCTGTCGTGGTGTTGGACTGGTGGTCGGTCGTGTGGTTGTGTGTTGTGTGTCCGCCGCGCCGCGCCGTGTGTGCGGCGGCCGCCGCGCATGATGGTTGCTGTGCGTTGCGTAGATGGTGCTGTGCGTTTGCCGGGTTCGGGGGCGGTGTTGGGTGTGCGCGGGGGTGACAGTGGGAATCGTAGACCGAGACTGCCCTGTGCCAATTGATTGCAGGAGCTGCGGTATGTACTCCAGGAACAGGAGCGACGGACATGAGAACAGAAGTTTGATTACAGAGCAGTCAAGCGAGAAGAGTCAGCAGCTGAGAGGATGCAGCAGATAACAGCGGTAACTTATGCCATTACACTGTCCTGCTCCTCACGTTCTCCCTGCAACAAGGTGTTGCTAATCCCTTCTTTGTCTATAACGGATTTATATCAACCTCTGCCTTCCTTCTTCTTCCTGTCCTTTAGATTATTTCCTTCCATGTATATGAAGACAGCGATGCATTGTACCCCAACCTTCCTCCTGTTTTTTCTATGCTCTGCTTCCCTGCTGGTCTGGATGTTATGAGTGATGCAGCATCGAATTATTTAATCCTGCATTTCTTCCTTCCTGCTAGTATATGCTGCGCACGAATTTATTACATCCTGCGCATCTTCTTCCTTCCTGTAGATATATGTGCAGCCACGAATTAGTTAATCTTCATTCATCTTCCTTTTCTGGGTTTAGTCGTACTGTGATTGTATGAAAAAACATGCCTTTGTAGCGAGATTTTAATCCTGTCATTTCTTCCTCCTGCATTCAGTATATCCTGCCAGCCACGAATTATTAATCCTGCCATTTCTTCCTTCTGCTAGTTATATGTGCCAGCACGAATTATTAATCCCTTAATTTCATTTCCTTCCTGCTACGTAGATCGTGCAGCACGGAAAATTAATCCTGCAATCTTTTCCTGTCCTGCCTAGTATATGTGCAGCACGCAATTTATTAATCCTGCTAATTTCTTCCTTCCTCTACTATATGTGCACACGCTGTTGGAATTTATTAATCCTGCATTTCTCCTTCCTGCTATAAGTATATGCTGCAGCACGAATTATTATTCCCTGCTAGTATATGTGCCCCAGCCACAAATTATTAATCCTGCATTTCT